TATTTTTATTACGACATTATTATTGCACGTGCAAATCTCAAACGTCATAACTCTAAGGGCGTCCGGCGGTAGATACGGTCCCTTGCATGTTTTGTGTGTGCCGGACTGCTGCGGTATCTTGCATCATGTGCCGCGATTATCGCGCTCGAGTTTAGTTTTTTTGTGTGCCGTCCACGTGTATTATAATAATGCGCAGCAGGGGGAGAAAGCGCAAAGTGTGTGTGCGGTGGCTTTTGCACAACTAGGCGCCGCGGGCGTTACATGTCGCGTTACAGCGTCCAGTTCAATCAAAACAATAATTCAATTTGGCTGCGCTTTTGTTGATCAGCTATTAAGTTACCCATAAAATGCTGCTGCTCCATAGGCTAATTTCAAAGTGTACCTGGAACCACAACCAATTTTGTCAGAACTCGCTAAATAATTGTGTTGGTCTTTGATTTCAACTGTGCTTTGTGGTGCAAAAAGTACATCAAACGTATGAAAAAGTTCAAAAGTCGGGAACGGAAGGTTTTGGTTCGATAGCATTCCGTTACTATTCCTGGTGATGTGTGGTGCGTGTCCCTACGTCGCGGTGCCGACGTGCATCGCGGCCTCCGAATAATCGCGCACTTTATGATTCCGGAAGCGCCGCGTAATGGTACCGGACGGGGCGCGGCGTCGGCGACATGTCGCGCGAGTCAAGGTTAAAGGCAGAGTCATTTTGCAGCAACCGGTCGCGCCGCTGCTCGTAAATATCGATTCTCATATTCGATTATTCGCCGGTTTGTGGCCACTCCACCCGCAGTTTGTGGCCTTATCGTCTGCTACCTCCCTTATGTTTACATGGCAACTCTTTCGATCTTTCTTGTCATCGGAATTCTCTTTTCTTCTTTATTTTGAGTTTTCAACTGGGATTACGCAATCCTTCTCCCTCTCGAGGTAAAAAGGAGACATTGTAATACGGAGCACCCTGAGAAATTGATCCAAACCTGAGCATTTTTCCTATCATAAAGAGCCTATGGTTTTAAACTGTTCGAGGGTGGCTGTAAAACAGAGGGCCGTTGGAAGTGTACTGCCGATAAGTGACAAGCGAAAGGCGCAACAATCTATTTTCTAGAAATTTATGTATAGTAAAAATAACAAGGCCGGTTTGCAGCACGGTGGTGCATTTGGTTGGAGTGAAATGCAATCCAGAGGGATTGTGTTGTCGCCTCGTGTTTACGAGGGCAGAGTGCTGTCCGGTACAATTCAATACGCGTGATACGTGATATATGCGGTCGGGTCGTTATGATATTAATACCTGCGTAGTAACCGCGCTGTCATTCTTGTTGAATGTATCCTTGAGAGACGCAAATGTCAATAAAGGTGTACAATAATATCACTCTTAAAAGAAAAAGAAGATATGGGAAACGAATGTCCGCATTGACGAGTTTTCTTCCACGAAGCATGGTTGTAGGAAATGAGCCAAATGAGACGACCCGTCATTTCGCATTCGGAATCCTTCAATCATAAACTTTTACGCTCTTCTCGTCTATCTGGCTATGCCTGCCTCCCGCCGCCCCTGGCCGCTATTGTGGCTACCGTCTGCGTTGGTCCAAAAGCCTCTCTGGTTTGTTTGCTTTTGCTTCCCGATCCAAATCTCCTCGAGCTTTGCTCTGCGGCTGACCGCAGAGGTTGCGTCAACGAACAAAAGGCTGCCGCGCGTTTCTCGGACGGTCTGGGTGGTCAGGAGCGCAATGCGATGCGCGCCAAAATTTACATTAAAAAAACAGACGCGCTATAGACACACACACACTACGTTAACCCCCGAGCAGGAAACTCATTCAACCGGCGGTGGCACGTACATTGTGACACGGCCCAGATGTGGCTCCGCTTACCCATCCTGGGTGGTTTATGACGTAATTCGTCAACTATTAAAAGCACGAGCGTGCCGCTCCGGAGATGAGCCCCAGCCGCTGCGCCATATTCACAGGAAAAAGACCCCTTAGGCTGTGGCGTGTTGCCGCAATAGTGTCACAATCGTTACCATACTGTGTGTTGTCTAAATGTCCTACAGAAATCCTATGCATCGGTACTGACTGTATTTTCTCTGTCTTCTCCAGGTGTGTGCCGAATGAATCGGATTATCGACTTCTTTCCCACGGATTTTGCCGGGTGAGTTCCGGCTGTGGCATTGCGATGACTGGTGGACAGTCGGATACCCCTGACTTTACATTATCAGTATAGACGGGGCGGACCCCAAACATAGCTCGGAAAGTACAAACGCTACGTTATTTTCGGAGCGTAAGTGGGAACTGGTTCGGGGTGACACCTGGACATCTGTGTGCTGACCACACGCATGTGGTCTGTCGTGCACACTAAATGTCAAGGAACAATTTTGTCCATGGTCAACGTACAATTTTGTCTCCAGACTGGATGCGTTCTTACGCGCATCTTTCAAGATGCAATTTTGTCCAAAAACAACGTACAAAATTTGTACTTTTCTGTTGAGGACAATATTGCATCTTAAAGAGGACAAATTTGTCACTTTTAATAAGTACAAATATAGAAGCTTTCTTCAAATTAAAAAGTCCAGACAGTATAGACAATTTTGTTACCACGGGCCCCGGCTAAATTTCTATAGCATATTGAAATGTAAATAAATTCTGATAGCACTCATTCAAAAGAAAGTCATAGTGATGATGCTGCCACACAATTTCATAACACTACTGCTCAGACCATGTGACTTCAAATACGAGGCGAGCCCTCACAAATAACTAAAAGACAATAAATAGAACTCGATAAAATTAACAGGACAACGGCACTGAAGATGGGAGGGTGAGGAGGTTTGTTTTACTTACAATAGATTGAAAAAGCCACTTTGAACTTGTTTTCAGAACTCAACGCAAGAACATTGATTCCATATCTTATTAGCCTAGGCTAATGTAGCCCAAGCACTTAACCTCACCAATGTTCACATTGTGTTTGGAGACAGTAAATTTGCTTTAGTCTGATGTGTCTGTTCTAAAATCGACACGGATGACAATGAGCGTCGATTCCATCCCACTGTCACAGCTAAAAACACTTCAAAACACAAATAAATCTTAAATCACACTCGATGCAAGTTCTTGTCGCTATGTTTACTGAAAACTGTTAATAACAATTTGCGTCTGGCGTCTGCTTGATTTCTTTTTCTTGATTTCTTGCCCCTCATACTGTGGATAGGTATTGTGTTCTGCAAATTGCTAAACGCCATTATAGGCAGGGTCATTGTTGACAATATACAGTAAACATGGCGACAAGAACTTGCATCGA